CAGTTATAATTTAACTTTTGAAGAATCAATGTTCTTATACCTAATTTGACATCACTGAAAATGATAAACATGTGAAAAGCAATTACAGCAAATAGGCAAGACCATTTTACGTATATAGAAGAATAAGTTGCCTTTTGTGTGTCTGTTAATAATATACAGATAAAACAATATAAACACTCCACAGAATGAAATTGGGGTTTGAATCAGAAATACATGAACTCTTGAGAGTCTCAGAGATTGCTGAAATAATCTAGATATCATTGTTGAGCTTTATTTCAAAAAAAGGGCTGTTTATCAAGCTTTTCAGATTTTGATTTCTTAAAAAATTCCTTAATTTTCTTCCCAAGCAGAATATGGTATACATTTTTTTAAAAAGACCAATAATTAAAACACAATGCACCATAATTTTGCCATTTTTCTGCAATAAGGGTGGCAAATGATTCATGGAGAAAAACGAAATATATTTCCCTGTCAGTTCAATAGATCAGAGATTTACAGCTTCTTGACTTGGACAGGAAAAACTCAGCATGCATAAAAATGAATTGCAAATCAGTTAATTGAGGAGATGCAAAACTAAAAGCATCTCAGCAGTTCAGTAAAATAAATTCACCAGAACAGATTAGTGGGGAACAGTCCTCCATTTATGCCCAGAGGTAACTAGTAAGAAGAAATCCACAGAATCATTTTCTTTTTTTTAAAGGTGCTTCAAGTCAGTTTACAACAATTCAGGCCACTTCAAGTCTGTCACAACTGTTAATTACATACACATCACTTAGAATGTGGTATCACGATAAGACAGAATCAATTTTGAGGAGGAGAAAGAAACAGAGCTGGATATCCCTTTCTAGAGATGGAATGCAGAAGGCAGGAAAAACAGCCAATACATTCCTTGGTATACTGACAAATTCATAGCTATTTATTTTATTTTGAAGTCAGCGCTGTAGTCATGAAAATGTGCCACATAAAGCATTTAGCATGCCATTGCTTGATGAACAGAGGTAGATGAGATGGTACATTTGCAGGGTCCTACACCCACTGTTTTAAGGTACCAGATAACATTTAATGAAAATGGAATCCACTTCATACATATCCCAACCCCGTCCCCATAAACTATGGCTAGTCTATTTCAGAATAGAGATCAAATTTCTCATTCTCTCTTTATATGGGGCCCTATGTCCTGTGGATTGTATGCAGTACCATGGATACACTAATATCACTTTGATATTTCCAGGACCATATGTGTACCCTTTTCCTCCAAGGGCTGGAAGCTAAACTCTTCCTCAGATGGTCCATATTACAGATTCACCTCAACAGGATCACTTCATCCTGAATTCTTCATGGGCTACAAATCTATAGAAAGATGGCAAGTCTTCCTATTGAGAGGTCATGCCAGAAAATAGCATTAATGATATCTGATAGAAGGAAGGTAGTGGGCTCTGACGTTTTGGATAAAATAGTAGATATGGAAACATACTTTCTGTCATGCTACTTATTATGCAATAATGGTTGTCTCTCTTTGTGGAAATGTAAGCACATTCCCCAGATGCAGGAATTTTTTAATTACAACATGCTCATGCATGTATGGCTAGCAACTGTAAGAAAAAAAAATCTTTAAAATCTTGCTTCAAGAGTAAATTAGGAACTATAAAAGAATATGACAATTATAAAATTTTCATTAAAAATTTATAAACAGATTTGCTGATTTACTTTCACAGAAAATACATGGCCTTTTTCCATGTCAGAACATTTGTCAGGATTTGGCAACTCTGGGCTAACCTGACATGCAAGATGATCAAAATGGATTATGTAATCTTTTCCATTTATTTCTATTGATTTTAATCATGATAAAATTCATCAGGGTGGGCTGGGAATGTGGCACCTGAAGAGAGGTGGTTAAATGAAAAATTTTAAAAAATTAAAAAGTCCAACCAGGAGACAATTTGTCATTTGCTTATCCCTCTGTGAATAATAATAATGATGATGATGATGATAATATGAAGATGAAGCAGAAGCAGCAGCAGCAGCAGCA